CCATATTAACAGACAAAAAAACAGATGTAATTAAATCAATAGATGCAGAAAAAGCATTTGACAAAATTCACCTCTCTGAAAATCAGGAACAGAGGGGAACTTAATAAACACGATAAAGGAATCTCTGAGGGACAATATATGCAGACTGCCAAGGTTAACATTCCAGCTCAGTTACTATCTAGCTGGATGAACTTCAGCAATTTGCTTAGACTTTGTGCCTCAGTTTTTTCATCAGTAAAATGCAGAGCACAACTGGTACGTACCGCGTAATGTTAGGTGACTGCGTTAGTAGTAAGTTGCTTAATGCTGAAGTGCTTAAACGGCAGACAGAAAAACACATATGCACATGGCATCTGTGAAAAACCTGTAACTAACACCACATCAAATGGTGAAACACTGATTTCTTTTTCCCCCATAAGATTGGGAAAAAGGTCGCTAGGCACTGTGGCTCACACCTATAATCCCAGCACTTTGGGAGGCCAAGGCAGGCGGATCATGAGGTCAGGAAATCAAGACCATACTGGCCAACACAGTGAAACTCAATCTCTACTAAAATACAAAAAATTAGCTAGGCGTGGTGACATACACCTGAAGTCCCAGCTACTCAGGAGGCTGAGGCGGGGGATTACTTGAACCCAGGAGGTGGAGGTTGCAGTGAGCCAAGATCACACCATTGTGCTCCTGCTCTTAAATCAACACTATAGGAATTGAAACACTGTGGAAATAGAGGTCCAGAAATAAACCTATACAAGTATGGCCAATTCCTACAAAGATGCAAAGGAAATTAGATGGAGAAAGAAGAATTTTTTCAACAAATAATAAAAGAACTGGACATCCAGATGCAAAAAAAAAAAAAAAAAAAAAAAATCTGAGAAAGAACTATACCAGAATATATAATTCCAAAACTGAAACAACCCAATGTTTTAAATGGACAAAGAGGCCGGGCGCAATGGCTCACACCTATAATCCCAGCACTTTGGGAGGCCGAGGCGGGTGGATCACGAGGTCAAGAGATCGAGACCATCCTGGTCAACATGGTGAAACCCCGTCTCTACTAAAAATACAAAAATTAGCTGGGCATGGTGGTGCGTGCCTGTAATCCCAGCTAGTCAGGAGGCTGAGGCAGGAGAATTGCTTGAACCCAGGAGGCGGAAGTTATGGTGAGTCGAGATCGTGCCATTGCACTCCAGTCTGGGTAACAACAGCGAAACTCCGTCCCAAAAAAAATAAAAATAAAAATAAAAAATAAATGGACAAAGACACATCACCAAAGATAAAACAATGCCAAATAGGCACAAGAAAAGAGAATCTACATCCTTAGGGAAATGCAAACTAAAGGAGAATTAGCTAATACAAACAAACAAACAAAAACCTGACCACCCCAAGTGCTGTTAAGGAGGAAGCATCTCGAACTCTCAAACATGCTGCCCACAGAAATCATATCACAAAAAAGCCCAGTAATCCCACTCCTAGGTATTTACCCACGTGAAATGAAAACTCACGTGCACAGAAAAAGCTGTGTGTAAATATTTATAAACAGCTTTATTTGTAATCATAAAAAACTGGAGGCGTGGCGAGGCAGTTCATGCCTGTAATACCAGCACTTTGGAAGGCTGAAGCAGGCGGATCATGAGGTTAGGAGTTCAAGAACAGCCGGTCCAATATGGGGAAACCACATCTCTACTAAAAACACAAAAATTATCTGGGGGTGGGTGGCGCGCAACTGTAGTCCCAGCTACTTGGAAAGCTGAGGCAGAAGAATCACTTGAACCCAGGAGGCAGAGGTTGCAGTGAGCTGAGATCGTGCCACTGCACTCCAGCTTGGGGAACAGAGCGAGACTCCAACTCCAAAAAACAAAACAACAAAAGCTGGAACAACCCAGTGTCCTTCTAATGCAGAATAAGCTGTGTTATATTTATATAATGGACTAGCCTTCAACAACAGAAGGCACTAACTATTGACATGAGCAACAACATAGGTGAACCTCAAATGCACTATGCTAAGTGGAAAAAGCCAGATAACAAAAAGCTACCTAATGTTATGATTCCATTTAGAGTATATTCTGAAAAAGGCAAAACTATATAGAAAACAGACCAATGGTTGCTAATGGCTGGGGCGGGGGTGAAGGAGAGTTGTTTAACTACAAAGGGGGCAGGGGAAATTTGTTTTTTGTTTTTAAGATGGTGGGAGGCTTGAAACTGCTCATTTTGCTGGTGGTTACACAACTCTAGGCGTTTGACAAACATCAGAGAACAGTATATTGAAAAGAGTAAAGTATGGCCGGGCGCAGTGGCTCACGTCTTAATCCCGATACAAAATTAGCCAGGCGTGGTGGCGCATGTCTGTAATCCCAGCCACTTGGGAGGCTGAGGCAGGAAAATCGTCTGAACCTGGGAGGGGGAGGTAGCGGTGAGGCGAGATCGCGCCATTGCACTCCAGCCTGGGCGACAAGAGCGATATTCCGTCTCAAAAAAAAAAAAAAAAAAAAGACTAAATGTTATTGTAAGTTAAAAATTATATGTTAAGTGCTGATACTGCATTTACAAAAGAACATAATGCTATAAAATATATTTATAGTGTTTTTTCTCCGAGAAAACACCAAATGGCGGCGGATGACGCCAGTGGGGGGCGGGGATGGGGAACCGCAGTGGCTTCCGGGGTGGGGTTGCCGACGTGGACAGGGTAGCGAAGGCAAGGCAGAGGATAAGGAGTGAATGCCCGTCACCAAGCTGGGCCGCCTGGTCAAGGACATGAAAATCAAGTCCCTGGAGGAAGCGGGGAACCTGAGATCACTGACTTTTTCCTGGGGGCCTCTCTCAAGGATGAGATTTTGAAGATTATGCCGGTGTAGATGTAGATGTGCGCCGGCCAGCGCGCCAGATTCAAGGCATTTGTTGCCATTGGGGACTACAATAGCCACGTTGGTCTGGGTGTTAACTGCTCCAAGGAGGTGGCCACTGCCATCTGCCAAGCTCTCCATTGTCCCTGTGCGCAGAGGCTACTGGGGGAACAAGATCAGCAAGCCCCACACCGTCCCTTGCAAAGTGACAGGGCGCTGCAGCTCTGGGCGGGTGCACCTAATCCGCGCGCCCAGGGGCACTGGCATCATCTCGGCGCCAGTGCCCAAGAAGCTACTCGTGATGGCTGGTATCAATGGCTGCTACACCTCAGCCAGGGGCTGCCCTGCCACCCTGGGTAACTGCACCAAGGCCACCTTTGATGCCATCTCTAAGACCTACAGCTACCTGACCATCGACCCCTAGAAGCAGACTGTATTCGCCAAGTCTCCCTATCAGGAATTCACTGACCACCTCGTCAAGACCCACACCAGAGTCTCTGGGCAGAGAACCCAAGCTCCAGCTGTGGCTACAACTCAGGGTTTTTATACAAGAAAAATAAAGTGAATTAACCCTTTTAAAACATTATTCAAAGTTAAGAGTTAAATAACAAAAAACAGTTAATAAATAAAAAATATGAAAAGAGAAAATAAGGCAATAGAAAAGTAGAAAGAAAAAAACCTTAGAAATTTCCCATGAAGTACAAAGTCCAAGGGATAGACAAAAAAGTATTAAAATTAGAGGACCAGCCCAGGAAGTCTAACATGAAATTCAACATATGAAAAATGAAGATTGCAAAAAATGGAGAAAGGAAACTGCCAAAACATTTTCTAGGCGGGGTGCAGTGGCTCACACCTGTATCTAAGGTAGGCGGGATCACCTGAGCTGAGCCGCAGAGCTCAAGAATAGCCTGGGCAACGTGGCAAGACCCTGTCTCTATTTATTTAAAGAAAGAGAGAGAGAGAAAGAAGGGAGAGAGGAAGAAAGAGAGAGAAAGAAAAGGAAGGAAAGAAAGAAAGAAGACGGGGGAAGACAAGAAAGAAAAGAAAAAGAAAAAAAAAAGTCTAAGAAAAAAAGTTATCGGAAGGCTCAGCAAAATGGCTGAAAATATTCATACCAAGATATATCATGGTGATATATTAGAAAATGGCAACAGGCCAGGCGCAATGGCTCACGCCTGTAATCCCAGCACTTTGGGAGGCCAAGACAGGCGGATCTCCTGAGGTCGAGAGTTTGAGACTAGCTTGATCAACACGGAGAAACCCCATCTCTACTAAAAAATACAAAATTAGCCGGGCGTAGTGGCACGTGCCTGTAATCCCAGCTACTCGGGAGGCTGAGGCAGGAGAATTGCTTGCACCCGGGAGTGGAGGTTGCAGTGAGCCGAGATCGTCCCAGTGCACTCCAGCCTCAGCAATAAGAGTGAAACTCCGTCTCAAACAACAACAACAACAAAAAACCAGAACAGAACAAAATAAAACAACAAGAATAGGGAGACCTCCTGGGTTGGGTTTGTGTGTTTGTCTTTCAAATGAGGATTTGTATGGATGAAGATACTTTCAAGGAGATGGGTATGTCTGGGGAAGACCAAGAAGGGGGAAGAGGTAGGTCTCTTCAGCAAGATTCATTTTCGCCCTATTCGGGTTGAGGTCCCTATGGAAAGAAAGTTCTGAGAGGAGAAGATGGGTGGAAGTCGCAGAGAGGCAAAAGGCATCACGGGGGGAACTTTCTATCAGAAATTTCTAACAACGAGGCGGAAAGCGAACAGCGCTATCTTGGACGGGGTGGTGGCCAGGTGATCTCTCGGGCTAGGGCTGAAGAAAGCCTCCAACGCTCGGACTGCCTCCCCGATTCCTAAAGCAGCGGTGTCGTTCGGGGCCGACCGACGAGCGTCCCCAGGGAAAGGACCGTGTTCACGTGTCGGTTCCCGCGCTGCAAGAGGGGGCGGCGGCCGGAGCTGGCCCAGGAGGAGGGCGGCACGGAACCGCCACGCGCACACGCCTCGGGCCGGGACAGTCACGACTGAGGGGCCCGAGACGATCGAGAACGGGCGCCCCCCGGACCACCCGGGCCACTGGCACGACCCCCGCGGGAGCCGAACAAGCCTCACGTGAGGCGTGGGGCGGGGCAATCCTCCTGTCGCCTCAGGCGGAATCGCTCACCTGACGGCACGTAATCCTCGTCCTCCTCGGATGTCGAGAAGTCTTCGGAGTCGAATTCCTCCATGTCGCTGCCGCTCGACGCTGGTCAAACTTGCAGGACCGCAGCAGCTGCCTCCAACGGCAAAGCTCTAGGGAAAGATCATAGAGCCCGGAGGGCGGCGGCAGCAGCTAGGGCGGCCCCGACAGCGCTTTGCACATGCGCAGAGAGTGCCACGTGGTCGCCTACGACACTTCCGGCCGATGCCTCTGGGCTGGCGCCCCTGAGGCCCTCGCGGGGAGCCGGTACTCGCCCGGACGCAGTGCATGCTGGAACTTGTAGTACTCGGCGCTGCCTCACCGCCTTTATTTAATAAATCTGCTTAAATAAAATTACATATCTGTGGAAATACAGGCCACCTTCATTAATCATGAGTTATTGTCAAATACAAACTTACTCGCTAAAATGTATTGGTAACCCCAAAATCAATCATCACAGTCCTTTTTGGGGTTCTTCCCGGGCATGCGCAGAGGGTGGAAATTTGGAGTTGGCGGAGGTGCAGGTTACCAACAGAGGTTTGAACTAGGCAGAAGCGCCGCCTTCTCGTTGCAGCTCCCGTGGTGTAAACAGAGTCCTTTCCGCAGTCTGTTTACTGACACTTTTTTGTGTGTGTCTGCATTTTTCTGCTTTTTTGTCGGTGGTTTTGCTGTTTAAAATGGCCCGCAAGCATAGTGCTGAAGCTCTGCCCATCGTTCCTAAGCGCAAGAAGACCGTGATGTGCCTTTATGGAGAAAGCCAGAGTGCTGGATAAGTTCCTGTCATGCATGAGTTATGGCGGTGAGCTCTGTGTTAACGAGTCGACAGTCCGGTACATGAAGAAAGAGGTGGCTCACGGCTATAATCCCAGCACTTTGGGAGGCCGAGGCGGGTGGATCACGAGGTTAAGAGATCGAGACCATCCTGGTCAAAATGGTGAAACCCCGTCTCTACTAAAAATACAACAACAACAAAAAATTAGCTGGGCATGATGGCGCGCGCCTGTAGTCCCAGCTACTCGGGAGGCTGAGGCAGGAGAATTGCTTGGACCCAGGAGGCGGAGGTTGCGGTGACCCTAGATCGCGCCATTGCACTCCAGCCTGGGTAACGAGCGAAACTCCTTCTCAAAAAAAAAAAAAGAAAAGAAAGAGGAAAAGGAAATTCACCAATCTGTTCTTGAGGACGCTCCGGAAAGTGCTAAAGTGACCTCCATAGTGCGTGATGAAACTATGGAAAAGATGGTAAAGCGGCTGAATTTGTGGATTCATGAGATGTCGACCGATTAAAAAAAAAAAACAACAACAATAGTGGACAGCATTGTTGTGAAACCAAAAAAAATAAAAAAAATCTATGGTCACGTTACCCAGGGTCAGAGAAATGTCAAGCCCTTCTCGGCGAGGGCTGGCTGGATCGCGGGTTTCAAAAGGCGACACGGGGTGAAAAATGTTAAACTTGCATGTGAGGCAAGTTCTGCAGATCAAGGGGCTGCGGAAGAATTTTACAAATACCTGCTAAGTGTTATACAGGAAAGCGTTATGTGGAAGAGCAGGTTTTCAATACGGATGAGACTGGCTTATTTTACAAGGATGTTGGCAAACGAACCTACATAATGCAAGCGGCATCCAAAGCCCCTGGCTTTAAATCATACCAGGATCATTCAACCTTGTTAGTGTGTGCCAAGGGCGACTTTAAGTGCAAACCCCAATGGTGTACAGAGCCCAAAATCCACAAGCACTTAGTGGGAAATACGTGAACCATCTGCCAGTCCATTGGAGGTGGAACAAAAAACTGGACGATGTCCATTTGGTTCCACAACTGCTTCATCCCAGAAGCTGAACTCTGTCTCCAGGGCAGAAACCTTGCCTTCAAGGTTTTATTAATTTTAGATACGGCTCCAGTCCATTGCTACAAAGAACTCGAAAAGGCACACCCCAACAGAGGAGTTCTTTTTATGCCCCCAAACGCAAAATCTCTCACCCAACCCCTCGATCAGGGCATAATAAAAACATTCAAGGCACTTAGGAGGCAGAGGTTGCAATGAGCCGAGATCATTCCACTGCACTCCAGCCTCGGCAACAGACCAAGACTCCGTCTCAAAAAAAAAAAAGCGTTCAAGGCACACTACACAAGGGCGCTTTACACGACGGCCTGTGAGGCTCTCAGGGCCAACAAGGAAACCACCATACTGGACTATTGGAAGTCTTTCACTATACGCAACATCATTGATTATGCTGGCACAGCCTGGGACCGCACTGAGCAGGCTACTATCAGTAACTGTTGGCCAGGTGTGGTGGCTCATGCCTGTAATCCCAGCATTTGGGGAGGCTGAAGCGGGCAGATCACGAGGTCAGGGGTTCGAGACCAGCCTGGCCAACATAGTGAAAGCCCATCTCTACTAAAAATACAAAAAATTAGTCAGGTGTGGTAGCAGGCATCTGTAATCCCAGCTACTCAGAAGGCCAAGGCAAGAGAATCGCTTGAACCCGGGAGGCAGAGGTTTCAGTGAGCAGAGATGGCAACATTGCACTCCAGCCTGGACGACAGAGCAAGATTCCGTCTCAAAAAAATAAACTAATTAAGGCCAGGCGCGGGGGCTCACGCTTATAATCCCAGCACTTTGGGAGGCCGAGGCGGGTGGATCACGAGGTCAAGAGATCGAGACCATACTGGTCAACATGGTGAAGCCCCGTCTCTACTAAAAATACAAAAATTAGCTGGGCATGGTGGCGCGTGCCTGTAGTCCCAGCTACTCGGGAGGCTGAGGCAGGAGAATTGCTTGAACCCAGGAGGCAGAGGTTGCGGTGAGCCAAGATCGTGCCAGTCTGGGTAACAAGAGCGAAACTTGGTCTCAAAAAAAAAAAAAAAACTAATTAAAATTAAAATTTAAAAAACTGTTGAGAAAATGTTTGGCCAGACTGCGTGGAGAATTTTGAAGGCTTTGAAGGTGTTACAGAAAATATGAAGAACCATGTCGGAAGCATAATGCATATGGCACAGCAGATAAGTGGAGAGGGCTTTGATGACATGAAGGATAAGATGTGGAGGAAATTTTGGCAAATAAGGCAGTGGAACCAACCAACAGAGACCTGGATGAGATGGCAAAACAAGGCATTGGAGTGGATGAAGAGGATCGCCATGAAAGTCGGCCCAAGAGTTCCAGAATGCTCCCTCACACAGCAGCAGCCAAAATATTGGAGTGGAGTTCTGCCTTGGACAAAATTTTTAGCGACATGGAAGAGTGTGACCCTATGCTTGATGGAAGCCTCAAATTTAAATGGCTGGCCTCCACTGCATTTGCCCCTTATAATGAGATGCTTAAAGATTTCAGGCAGAAAGCCAAGCAGGCAAGGCTGATGCAATTTCTCAAGCCGTTTCGGAAGAAAGATTGCCCATTCCTTCAACAAGTATTGAGAGCCAGACTCCAAAGGTGACCTGTCACCTTCTTCCTCTTCTGCAGAATAAATTTCACTCACCCCTCCTCTGGTTTCTGTGGGACAAACCAAGGTCCAGAGGTTTTTCCCACATTTTGTAACTCTGTCAACATAAGATTTTAGTTATCTTTATAAAACTTAGGATACTCAGCTTTCAGCTCAGAAGGCTGTTGGCCCTCCGTTGCGCTCTCTCTCTCTCTCTCTCTCTCTCTCTCTCTCGTTTCTTAATACCTTCAACGCCGCCTGTGTTGGGGTCTCCATAACCCAGCTGGTCTCAGAAAAGTAAAAAAAAGAAAAGAAAAAAAACTTAGGATACTCAATCTTTGAACTTTTTCACTTTCTTTGTATTGCTGTACTCTATGGTATACAGTATGTGTGCACAGTAGTGAATGTGTTTCCTTCAGGAACTGTACAGTATGTTATACTGTTTACTGTCTGTGGGTACTATATATGTGTATTCTGTGACAGTGAAAAGTAGTACAGGCCAGGCGAGGTGGCTCACACCTGTAATCCTAGCACTTTGGGTAGCCAAGGCTAGTAGATCACGAGGTCAGAAGTTCAAGACCAGGCTGGCCAACATGCTAAAACCCCGTCTCTACTAAAAATACAAAAAGGAGTTGGGCAGGCCCCTGCAATTCAAGCTACTCAGGAGGTTGAGGCAGGAGAATCATTTGAACCTGGGAGGTGGAGGTTGCAGTGAACCAAGATCGCGACAATTGCACTCCAGCCTAGGTGACAGGGTGAGACTCCATCTCAAAAAAAAAAAAAAAGTAGTACAATCTCAGTACACTAGAGTACATTATACCAAAATACTGTCATTGAAATTTTATTGTAAATATGGATTATTTCTAAGAAATACATATTAAATAAGGTGTCTTTGAACAGAAACACATATAAAACAACGTTACATATTGATCAGTTGACAAAAGTGTTGACTAGAGGTTCATAGGAACCTAACGAAGTATTTCTCCCAGGAGCCATGGTTCAGTTTTTACTAATTCAGTGTTAGTTGCATTTCGTTAATTCAACAACTTTATAGATCTAACTACTGTGAATACAAAGAATGCAGCTGTCATCCACACAAACCCTTCCTTCAAGTTAAACCATATGGGAAGTACAACCATATATAACTGTTACCATTTCTTCAGATTAAAACATTTTAATGATCTATTTAGGAGGTGATAATCAGAAGCAAATTCAGATGAAACACCAACGACTACCATACTATTTGTTTCTCTTGCCTACAGATAGGAATTTTTTTCAGCTGAAATTGCTTTTCATTGATACGCTAGACTAGACTGAGTCTGTAAATCGAGGAAATCAAGGAATAGATGAGACATGCATGTGATTAATAAGACATTACAATGGCTTTATACCAGCAAACTTCAAAAAATATCCTTATTAAGACACAGTTCACACACCATAATGTTTACCCATTTGAGGTGACAATTCAGGCCGGGCGCAGTGGCTCTCACCCTGTAATTGCAGCACTTTGGGAAGTTGAGGCAGGTGGATCACCTGAGGTCAGGATTTCAAGACCAGCCTGGCCAATATGGTGAAACCTTGTCTCTCCAAGAATACAAAATTTAGCTGGGCATAATGGCAGGTGCCTGTAATCCCAGCTACTCGGGAGGCTGAAGTGGGAGAATCTCTTGAACCCGGGAGGTGGAGGTTGCAGTGGGCCAAGACCGCACCATTGCACTCCAGCCTGGGCGTCAGAGCGAGACTCCATCTCCATAAAATAAAGTAAAATAAAAATGTGCACAATTCAATAGTCTTTATTCAGACTTGCACAATCAACACTAACTCCATTTAGAACATTTCATTGCCCCCAAAATAAATTCTTTCTCATTCCCCATTCATGCTCATTCCATTTCTCCTCAAAGACCAGCCTCTATAGATTTGCCTGTTCTGGACATTTATTTTATATAAGTTGAATCAGACAATATGTGGTCTTTGGGAACTGATTTAGCATGACATTTTCAAAGTTCATTTCTCTTAGGTATATCCTAAGTGGGATTGCCTGATCATATAATAACATTTTTTTTTTAATTTTTTATTTTAAGATGGGGTTTCACCATGGCTGGTCTTGAACTCCTGACCTCAGGTGATCCACCCACCTCAGCCTCCCAAAGTGCTAGGATTATAGGCATAAACCAGCGTGCTCAGCTAATATTTTTTTAAAAACCTTTTGAAGAACTGCCAAAGTGTTTTCCAAAGCAATTGTACCATTTTATATTCTCACCAGCAGCATGTGAGGGTTACAATTTCTCTGCACCCTTGCCAATACCTTTTTTCTTTTCTTTTTTTTTTTTTTTTGAGATGGAGTTTCGCTCTTGTTACCCAGGCTGGAGTGCAATGGCACAATATCGGCTCACAGCAACCTCCAACCACTGGGTTCAGGCAATTCTCCTGCCTCAGCCTCCTGAGTAGCTGGGATTACAGGCACACGCCACCATGCCCAGCTAATTTTTTTGTTATTGTATTTTAGTAGAGACGGGGTTTCACCATGTTGACCAGGAAGGTCTCGATTTCTTGACCTCTTGATCCACCCGCCTCGGCCTCCCAAAGTGGTGGGATTACAGGCGTGAGCCACCGCGCCCAGCCACCAATTTTCATTCTAGCCATCCTAGTGTGTATGAAGTGACATCTCATTGTAGTATCAATTTGCACTTCTCTGATGACTAACAAAGTTAAGCAACTTTTCATGTCCTAATTGGCCATTGTATATGTTCGTTAGAGAAATATCTTTTGAGATCTTTAGCCCTTATTTTTTATCTTTTTTTTTTTTTTTAAGACAGAGTCTGGCGCTTTAGCCCAGGCTGGAGTGCAGTGTCGCGACCTCTGCTGATTGCAAGTTCCGCCTCCTCGGTTCAAGCGATTCACCTGCCTCAGCCTCCCGAGTAGCTAGAACCACAGTTGTGAGCCACCATGCACACTAATTTTTCTATTTTTAGTAGAGAGAGCGTTTCATCATGTTGGCCAGGCTGGTCTCAAACTCCTGACCTTAAGTGATCCACATGCCTCAGCCTCCCAAAGTGCTGAGATTATAGGCATGAGCCACCATGCCTGTTTTGCCCATTTTAAAATTGGGTTGTCTTTTTGTTGACTTTTTTTTTTTTTTGAAGCAGGTTCTCCCTATTGCCCACGCTGGTGTTTAGTGGTGCCATCTCAGCTCACTGCAGTCTCAACCTCCCTGGACTCAGGCAATCCTCCCACCTCAGCCTGCTGAGTAGCCAGGACTACAGGCATGCACCATCACACCTAGCTAATTTTTATACCTTTTGTAGAGATGAGATTTCACTGTGTTACCCAGGCTGGTCCAGTCCTTTGTGACTTGAACATGTTTCCTCATATTTTGTGACGTTTGTTTGCACTTTTTTTGGGAAGAAGCATCTTAGGCCGGGCACGGTGGCTCACACCTGTAATCCCAGTACTTTGGGAGGCCAAGATGGGCAGATCATTTGAGGTCAGGAGTTCGAGACCAGCCTGGCCAACATGGTGAAACCCCATCTCTACTAAAAATACAAAAATTAGCCAGGTATGGGGGCACATGCCTGTAGTCCCAGCTACCCGGAAGGCTGAGGCATGAGAATCGCTTGAACCCAGGAGGTGAAGGCTGCACTGAGCTGTGATCTCACCACTGTATTCCAGGCTGGGCAACAGAGCAAGACTCTAAAAAAAAAAAAAAAGAAAAAAAAAGTGTTTTACACAAGTTTAAATTAGTTGCTAGCACTTAAAAATGGAAAGATGTCATTCTTTGTGATATGCTCTTGGTCAGAAAAAAAGTGGAGAGATTTCAAACAGTAACTTAGATTTCCAACTTCTGTTGAAAAATGATTATCTAGCAAGATTGGGTCAATCACTGAACAAAGCAGAAACAGGCTAGAGCCAAGCAGTAGCTGACTCCTTCCGACAGCGCTCATCCCTCCCACTCCCTAAAGATTGATTTCTGGCTCACTGTTCTGTTTTCTTGGCAGTAGTGTCTTCCCTGTCAATCTCAGTACCTTTGTACCACATCTTCCACTGTCTCTTTCCACTGTCCAACTTTGGGTTATCACTGTTTTTTGGAAACAAAGTTCCTCCCCTTTTGGGTCCCAGATACACACACAGTCTTGGGGGCTTCTGGCTGAACTCTGCATGTATGTTTCTGGAGTGCTAGAAACATTCTGTCCCCCTTGATCTGTTACTCATTTATTAAGCTACACATCTTAAGGTTTGTACACTTTACTGCATGGTCAACCTCAATTTTAGAAAATAAGAGAGAAGGAATAGATGGGCGGTCTCCTGCCAGGCATTCACTGTATGTGTCTGCAATGGTTGGAACGGCAGCAATCTTGTGACCGTGACGTAAACTACCCAACCTAGACAGTCCCATTGGTTGAAAATGGCAGAACAGAGAGATTTATGATGTCACCAAGGGTATTAAATTAACCAAACTCGAAGCTTCTGTTCATGCAGATTATTAAAATAATAAATTTTCGCACGCTGTATCAGTACTCACCTATCTCCGTGTACAATCACACAAAAGCTCCTAGATGGCAATATACGACCCAGCAAGTAGAGTTACTAAGATTTCCAGTTCACATGGAAGTACAGTTTAATCACAACTTTGAACAATAATTTTGCCATAAATTAGTACGAAGTCGAACATAAACAGTTACACATTAGATTGTGTTATTCAAAAAATGAAAACTGAAGTCAGACAACTTTATTACAAATGATTAAACTCATCGGCCACCAAAAAAGAAATGTAATTCCAACTCAGGATTGAAAGTAATTTTTTATTGATAAACATTTACACTAGAATAGAAATGTCAGTAGAAAAATAAAATTTAAATAATTTTCTATTGTACAAAGATTTGATCATTTTCACTCTAGCAGTTAGTGAAATAACATAATATAAAAAGTTTAGCTGATTTTAGTCACAACCAGCCTTCAAGAGTGCACAAAAAAGAAACGCAGGTACACAACATTTTCTGCATATGGTCTGCTAATGGCACCGAGGCTTCACATTCCAGGAAATGGTTACCGAGGGAAGGCTGACGTGTGCTGCAGCATAACAGGAACGTAATTCAAACCAGAGCAACCAGAAAGGATACTGGAGTCAAAAGCCAAAATACAATTTAAAATCTTAAAAATAAGGAAGGGTTTAAAGGTAATTAATGAATTTTTCCTCACTAGTTTAAACATTTCATAAGGAGTAATATTTTGTGGCAAAAAAAAAAATGTTAACAGCACAAAGAGACACCTCTCTCTTAGAAATTCATGATGCTCTTGTGTATGAACTTAAGTTTCATGAAATGCTTTCACTACAAAACCCCAAGTTCAAGAATCAAGAAGGCTGGGTACGGTGGCTCACATCTGTCATCACAGCACTTTGGGAGGCCGAGGTGGGTGGATTATATGAGGTCAGGAGTTCAAGACCAGCCTGGCACATGGTGAAACCTCATCTCTACTAAAAATACCAAAATTAGCTGGGCATTATGGTGTCTGTAATCCTGGGTACTTGGAGGCTGAGGCAGGAGAATCACTTGAATTTGGGAGGTGGAGATTGCAGTGAGCTGAGTCCACGCCACTGGACTCCAGCTTGGGCAACAGAGCAAGACTCTATCTCAAAAAAAAAATCAAGAAATCAGCTTTTATGTTCGGGAGGCTGCCTCCCTCTCCTTTATTTTTTTAAAAAGCATAGCTAGGGGAGGATGTTTCCAAGAAATCAGTTTTTGGCAAAAAGACTCAACACTATGTAAGGTAAAATGTTCAACACAATTGCCAATATTCTTCCCTCTGAGTGACCACTCCCAAATAATTCTCCGAGAAATAAAAAAAGAAAATCAAAGATATTCCTTATCATTCAAATAGTCTTTCCCTGAAAAGATTAAGCTACACAGCTCAATCTATTTCAAGTCTCTCTATATATTTACTCACAGGAGCTTCATTTATATTGGGATGTATGAAGCATTCAATAATTTGAAGATACTTTTTATATGGAAAGTTTTTAAAAAGAGTAATCAAAATATATCAAACAAGAAACAGAAACAAAAAAAAAAAAAAAAGAAACAGAAACAAAGACACCTTTCAAAATGCCCTAACTTTATGACTTAGCTCCAGTGAAAAATATCTAACATTTTAATCATGGATTAGTATTTCAAAAATTAGTATTTAAGGGGACGGGCCTACTAACTACTGGCCCACATGTTTAGTGTATGAAATTATATCCAAAGAGGCTGGGCAAGGTGGCTCAAGCCTGTAATCCCAGCACTTTGGGAGGCCAAGGCAGGTGGATCACGAGGTCAAGAGATTGAGACCATCCTGGTCAACATGGTGAAACCCCGTCTCTACTAAAAATACAAAAAATTAGCTGGGCATGGTGGCGTGTGCCTGTAATCCCAGCTACTCGGGAGGCTGAGGCAGGAGAATTGCCTGAACCCAGGAGGTGGAGGTTGCGGTGAGCTGAGATCACGCCATTGCACTCCAGCCTGGGTAACAAAAAGCGAAACTCCATCTCAAAAAAAAAAAAAAATATATATATATATATATATATATATATATATATATATCTCCAAAGAATGTTTTCGGTGAGAACTCATTCAACAGGCATTCTTCAGTAAGAGACATTCTTCAATAGAGATGATGGAAATCATTTCCCATAATAAACGATACAAATTCCCCAAATTTCTCAAACTGAGGGGATACTTCTGAAAATCACAGCTTTTAAACTAAAAACTAGAATTTTTTACAATCTGCTTGGAAGAAAAGATTTGAGCTTCTTGTTGGAGAATTTTTAAGAGTATGTGGCTGAATTACAACTCTACATATAAGTTTCTGCTGAGTATATGTCACTATAATTTTGGTATGTCAATTATCAAAATTAATAATATTGAGACAGGGTCTTGCCTTGTTACCTAAGCTGGGAGTTCAGCGGCGCTATCATGGCTCACAGCAGCCTGAACCTCCCAGGAACAAGTGATCCTTCTACTTTAGCCTCCTAAGTAGCAGGGACCACATCCAGCTATTTTTTTGTTTTGTTTTATTTTTCAGAAGAGATGAAGTATTGCTATGTTGTCCAGGCCAGTCTTGAACTCTTGGGCTCAAGAAATTCTCCCAAATCGATCTCCCAAAGTGCTGAGATTACAGGTGTGAGCCACTGTGCCCAGTCATAAGTGGTCTAATTACTCAAAAGAAAATGTCCAATTTTTGTGATCTCTTTGTAATTCTTTTCTATGAATTTCCCTGGCAAACTGGTCCTCCTGACTTTTTCCTTTTTTTTTTTTTCCTCAAATTGGGCAGACTCCAGAATCACAGTACATTCAGAGACTCTCCTCCTGGCTATTTTTAAACAGAAGCCAGAGTGCATATTGCTTTAAATGGAATAGATATGTTCATGTACATATGACCTCATGAGCTGTTAGCCTTAATCTCACAATGAAAACTTTCCTTTAAAGATGTCAGATTTAGGCCGGGCGCTGTGGCTCACCCCTGTAATCCCAGCATTTTGGGAGGTCGAGGCGGGTGGGTCACAAGGTCAAGAGATCGAGACCATCCTAGTCAACATGATGAAACCCCGTCTCTACTAAAAGTATAAAAAATTAGCTGGGCATGGTGGTGCGTGCCTGTAATCCCAGCTACTCAGGAGGCTGAGGCAGGAGAATTGCCTGAATCCACGAGGCGGAGGTTGTGGTGAGCCGAGATCACGCCATTACACTCTAGCCTGGGTAACAAGAGCGAAACTCCGTCTCAAAAAAAAAAAAGTCAGATTTAATTACCAGAAACTATCCTGAAGACAGATAACAATCACTACCACCACACGGATTATATTCAAGAGAAAACAGTTTAGGTGGTAGGGATCATATTAGATACTTAATTTCTGCGAATCTTTCCCTTTCAGAAAGTCACAGTTTTCAGGCCTTTTAATGAAAAAGAAAGTTAGGCAGTAAAATAAAAATCAAAATAGCTAAAATTGGCTGGGCAGTGGCTCAACTGAGGTCAGGAGTTTGAGACCAGCCTGGCCAATATGGCGAAAGCCCGTCTTTACTAAATACAAAAATTAGCTGGGCATGGCAGCAGGCGCCTGTACTCCCAGCTACTTAGGAGGCTGAGGCAGGAGAATCACTTGAATCTGGGAGGTGGAGGTTGTAGTGAGCCAAGATTGTGCCACTGCACTCCAGTCTGGGCAACAGAGTGAGACTCCGTCTCAAAAAAATAATAAAATAAAATAGCTAAAAATTAAATTAAAGAAACTATTGATATTGAACTCTCTTTAAAGATATACATTCTTTTGAATAAAAATCTAAAGGGGAGAGTGGGTGCATATCTGAAATTAAACTTCAGGCACTTTCTGGGACTTGATACCCAATACTGTAGAAGTAGGCTGAAGAGTCACCCATAGGCAAACACATTAAGCTAAAAAATCAATAACCACTGAGTCTAGTTTCAGATGCACTTCTACAGTGTCTCAAGGGTCATTAGTAAACAAAAGTTACTAAGAAAAACTACAACAGAATGTTTAAAGAATCTTACCTGTGCCTCAATGCCCAAACCAATCTGGCTTAAAATTTCCAACTCAAGCCATTTAATAGGGTATGTGTGTTTCCAATTAAATGAAATAAAATCAAGAGAATTAAAAGTGATAGGGAAAGGCAGTACAGAAAATCTTCTTAAAAAGTCTAAATTAGCTAGCTTATTTAAACAAAACATACAAAATAACAAATTCACATCTTAAAATATCTTAATCGGAAGTCAAGATAGTTGTCCAGAAAATGTCACATCAGTCATTGTTACCCACTTTGTACTTAGTGGAACCACAGCCACTACTTGAGTTATATTTAAATTTTTTTTCCTGTTTTATTTCATCAAATTTGTTTTCAAAGCTATACTCAACCAAAACCTATTTGGCATTTATTGTCACTAAGATGCAGCAAAGAAAAGAGTTTACCAAATATTAATCAAGACTAGATAAACTAAGATTTTAATACAACATACTCTGCTCATTTGAAATAAACCAGCCTCTTCCATAGTCTTCCAAAATATGCAACATCTCACAGAATACTGTAAATTTCAGTGCAAGGGATACCACCCCAGAGACACGGTTGACTTGACTTGGGTAAAGATACATGTGAAAACTGCTTAAATTAAGTATCTACAAAAAAGAAAGCCAGAAGACTTGTTATGTTTTGGTTAAGAACGATGGGAGTCCACAAGTCTTAAATTCCAGGAACTTCAAACTGAAGAAAAGGCTAAGATGCTGTCCTTCACATTCCCGTTCATCCAAGTTGCTTCATTTGAAGAACCAAGAAAATTCTACACTCCCTAATGTATTCTTTTGGAGGATTCCATAAAGTTTAGGTTCAACATCTCAGCATAAGGATGTATGCTATAGAGTAGCTAAAATCCGTAAAAAGGAGACCACCACGACGCAAAACGTCTGTCCAGTGCCAAAAGTGAGGGCTTCAAATGGTATCATTTCCTTCCCTGCTGCTCGGTAAACTCCAGCAATAGCTGCACCTGATTTAAAATGCAAGGGTGTTAAACAAAAACAAAAAAATAAGGTTAACAAACTCATGAAAATACAACACTTAAAATACTACTCTAAGTAGAATGTTCCAGATTTTTATGTTGAAATTTAACTGTCAGAGAAATGTTAGGTTTTTCCTATTCTTTCTGTGGACCGGTCTAGGCCTTGAGTATTCATTACGAGGCTTGCGATCACTTTCAGATGCTGACTCCTTAAAACCAAGAATCTCCTAGATTTACTGAATACAATAATCTGGAAGAAATAATCAAAATCACAAAGATAGCAATTCCCACAACCAGATTATGAACTCAAAAGTAACTGTTTATTCCCCTACCAGTAATAGGGACCTAATACATTTTTGCAACAAATGAAAAAGAATCTTTTGAGTTAGACTAAGCAAAAAATGTTTCAGGCCACAGGGAATCGCCGCTCCACCTCCTATTATACTCAGAGTTCCCTTCAAGAAGTGGATGGAGGCTGGGTGTGGTGGCCCACACCTGTAATCCCAGCAGTTTGGAAGGCCGAGGCAGGCAGATCACAAGGCCAGGGGAATTGAGACCATCCTGGACAACATGGTGACACTCCATCTCTACTAAAAATACAAAAATTAGCTGGGCATGGTGGTGCGTGCCTTTAATCTCAGCTACTTGGGAAACTAAGGCAGGAGAATCACTTGAACCAGGGAGCTGGAGGTTGCAGTGAGCTCAGAATGCCCCACTGTACTCCAGCCTGGTGACAGAGTGAGACTCCATTTCCAAAAAAAAAAGAAAGAAAGAAATGGATGGAGGAAGGGGTAGAGGGGTGAGAAAGGAGGAGAGGAGGACCCTAAGCCATAAAGTGGGTATTAATTCAAAGGGCATGAGGGAGAGATACTCAGGGATTCCTGTTTCATAGTCATTGATTGTTTTTATTATGTTAGTCACTATAACTTCTTGCAAATCGAGAAAACAAAACAAAAACCCCTGTATCTATGCAGATACCCATCTGAGTTACTATAGGAGTTCAGCATTGTACCAACAAAGTCAACATTTCATTTGTTTGAAAAGAATAGATCCAGCCGGGCACGGTGGCTCAGGCCTGTAATCCCAGTACTTTGGGAGGCTGAGGTGGGTGGGTCACCTGAGCTCAGGAGTTTGAAACCAGCCTGGGCAACATGGTGAAATCCCATTGCTACTAAAAATACAAAACATTAGCCGGGCATGGTGGCATAACCTATAATCCCAACTAGGCAGGAGAGTGAGGCAGGGGAGTTGCTTGAACCCAGGAGGCAGAGGTTGCTGTGAGTCGAGATCACAACGATGCACTCAAGCCTGGGCAACAGAGTGAGACCCTATCTCAAAAAAACAAAAAAAGAAAACAACAAAAAAGGATCCAGCCAGGCATGGTGGCTCAAGCCTGTAATCCCAGCATTTTGGAAGGCTGAGGCAGGAAGATCCCTTGAGCCCAGGAGTTGGAGATCAGCCTGGACAACATGGCAAAACCTTGTCTCTACAAAAAATACAAAAATTATCTGGGTGTGGTGGCATGTGCCTGTAATCCTAGTTACCTGGGTGGCTAAGGTAGCGGAATACTTGATCTTGGGAGGTGGAGGCTGCAGTGAACTATGACTATGTCACTGCACTCCAGCCAGGGTGACAGAGCAAGACCCTGTCTCAAATAAACAATAAAAATTAAAAAAATAATAGATCCAGACTTCCCAGATTACTCTCCCCAACAAGATGCCCCAAACAAAATTCTCCTTGGTCATAGTGTATGCATTCACTCAAATTTTTATCTGTAGAACACTTCTGTGTTTTATAAGGTATGGTCCCTATTCTCAGGCTACTTGGAATCCAGCTGGGGACCCAAGACAGAAACAGATTTGCAATAATGCAAAGTCATACACAGTGTCTCAATCACATGTTTACAATTATTATTATTATTTTTGAGACAGTGTCTCACTCTTTCGCCCAGGTTAGAATGTGGTGGCATGATCACAGGTCCCTGCAGTCTCAACCTCCTGGGCTCCATTGATCCTCCTGAGCAGCTGGGAACTACAGGCACACGCCAACCACCATGCCTGGTTATTTTTCATTCAACAAGTATTTATTGAGTGCCTACTAAGTGCCAGGCACTGTCATCAGGCATTGGGAATAGATACAGCAGTGAAGACAGACAAGGTACCTGCTCTCATGGAGCTTACATTCTAATGTACACTCTAGCTTACATTTCAGTAGTAAGTAACATCATACTATGAAAATTAATAAAAGAACCAGAATGAAAACAAACCTTATTACCTAAACTATTAAAAAGAAACTATATAACATTCAAAATTGTATAATCACTTTTAACAGATAAAATCACGTTGTACGTGCTGTTAAAACAGATTTTTAGCTATCAGTTAACTTTCTTCAAATATGCTACAAGGTGGGAAAGAAGAACATAACCCACATTCACATGCAAATATCCTTTGATACTTCTAGTCAAGTCAGTAATTCCCAAGTGATCCATTAATTAATTTTTAGAAAAATGTACCTTTTTCCTGGCCAGTTTCTACTAGCATTCAAATCAAAGTACTTTGCAATTCCTCCTTAACACACATTTTACACATGCTATGGCCAATAAATACAGGAAACCTATTTGATGTTTAACCTCCCTCAAATCAGAGAACCATTTAGAATTTCAGACTACGAGATGCTAACTCTAATTGTTAAATAGGTTAACTTCCTGTCAAAATGGGAAGTAGTTTTCTAATAGCAAAAGAAAAACAAAAACTCTTCAAACCTATAATTTTTTTAAGTATAGTTCGATAAGTTAGGAATGTGGGAGTTTTGTTTAAAAGTCAGACTTGATATTTATATCACTAATAGAAGTCCAAAAGACACTGCAAATTCCATTACTTCTATCACTTCTAAATGGTTCTCTAAATGTTAACTATGGCTTATCTGGCCATTAAAGGGTGTCTGGCCCTAAAATATAATAGGCATGTTTCAAAAAATGAAGAGGAATAATCAATTTATATAAATGTTCAATCTCATTCCAAAAATGTCTTACAAAAATGTTTCGGTAAGTACTTCCTAAAAACATTTAGCAGGTTTGAGGACCTCAAAAATAATTTTCAGTTAGAAAAACACTTTTTCTGAGGAAGAGAATATGTTCTAGTTTTCAAGAAAACTGATATAGTAACAGGGAAAGTCATTCAAAAATTAAAATTTGGGTCTAAGATTAAGTTTTAGGAACAAAGCATTTCATTTAATCCCTAGCAACAAGTCTGGAAAAGATACATGTATTCCTAACACGCATACTATGAACAGCTCTTCCAAGGCCAGAACAGAAGCTCCACTTAGGACCTAGGATCACCACCACAAAATAATACCTCATGGGGCTCCCCATAGTCTGCTCTGCCCAGAGCCTCGCTTGAAATTCTGCTGATATCCATCCCATTGATAGCCAGAGTAATCCCAGGGAGCACTGAACTGAGACTCTGTATAACCAGTCTTTGGAGTGTTAGAGAATGAAGGGCAGTAACCATCATCTCCTCCTCTAAATCCATTGGCAGGGCCCTGGTATCCATTCATCAAGCCTCTAGCACCACAGGAACCTCCACGAGACGCACCACAGCTATTGTATAGGGCTGACTACTAGGTGGAAATCCAGTGTTCTGCTGAGGAGGCTGCTGGTGGTTACCAGTCATTTGATGGGACTGGTCTGGGGAAACATGGTAAGTGCCCACCACTGTTTGAAGCTGTTCTTGGTGAAGCTGTTTGTTCTACTTGGTGAGACTGACTAGAAAAGCTCTGGTTATAACTGGCCTGGTACTGAGTTTGCTGTATTAAAGTTTCTGGTTCATTAACTGGAGGAACTGGGGCATTCATACTGAACACCGTTTGCATGGATTAGAATGGAGCTGCATTTACATTGATTCCACCACTACATAAAGGTTTGCTTGTCCCAGCCTGAAGTACTTGGGGCTGAGAAGCATCAGGAAGGGATCATAATGCTGTAATCCGGTCTGTATTTAAAGAGATTGTTGCCTGAATCTGATCAATTGGTTCCTTCTGTGGTCGTGGCTCTGTAGCAGGAGAAGGCTGGTACAGGCGTTGAGATGCCGTATACCCCTCACTTGTGGATGACACCAGAGGAACCCGTGTAGCTTCTGGTTGTACAGGAACTTGATAGGCTGAGCAAGTCTAGATTCAGAATGAAGTGGAGGGCAAACCAGCTGGGGCATGCCCATGTTTTGTGCTGGACTCACAGGCTGTGCAGATACAATGGCAGGATCAAGTGTCTGGTTTTCAAAATCCAGCACTGAATCCTGTACGAAATTATAGGGACCCTGCATTTGTGCCATAAGGTCCTGTACTCGCTGTCTTCTCAGAAGGGGATCTGCTTGAGCCACAGGAGTCAAAGAGTGGGGTTGTGGTACTGAAGGGGATGAAGCCTGAGGCTGCTGCTGGAATGAATCTACCACCTCAACTGTTTCAACTGCCCACTCATCTACCTGCTCCTTTTCGCCACTGGTGAACTGTGTTTCTGCCATGAACTGTCTATTTACATACTCTGCTGACTCAACTTCATTTTGCTCAGTGTAGTCTTCCACTGGCTCAGGTTCAGCTTCAGCTACCTGGTCTTCAATTGTAGGTGCTGAGGCTGCCTCTTCTTCCTCACACAACCCATTCTGGTGGTTGTGGGTGCTGTCAAAGTAGTTTCATTGAAAAACACACTCGACAATGTCTTTTAGAACTTTACAGGTGATTCCACATACAGATTTTTCCTTCCCTTCCAGCAGGACCCACAGGTGAATGGAGGCATGTTCACACTGTTCATTCAACCTCAAGCTCACGTCCCGTTCAGGGTCTACTAACCTACAGAATTCATCCAACAATGACAATTCCTCTTCGGACAATATAGGCACTCCATTTGAACCTTGTTTCAGGTCAGTTCGCACTTCGTAGTCTCCCAATTCGTCCAAAACATACTGTAACTCAAGTACAGTTTTTAAACGTTTCCGTTCAGCTTCTTCTCTCATAAGCTGCTCCCGAGGTGCTGTCTTCTTTATTGTTTTCTGAATATCTTGACTTAGTGCCATGAAACTCCTCTGTAATTCTTTTGCAAACTCCAAATTATTTGTGACTTCCTGGTACTTAGAAACGGCATTCAGGCCGGGCGCGGTGGCTCACGCCTGTAATCCCACCGCTTTGGGAGGCTGAGGCAGGTGAATCCCTTGAGGCCAGGAGTTCGAGACTTAGCCTGGCCAACATGGTGAAACCCTGTCTCTATTAAAAAAAAAAAAGAAAGGGCATCCACCCGACCTTGATTAAGCCTTTCCCCTTTGTTCATTCGTTCCTGGTAATCATCAAGCTTACCCTTTTTCTTCTCTAGGTTCCGAAGTTACTTGTCGATCACCCCGAGGATCTGCTTCATAGCCTCGGTCTGCACAGAGCTGGCGCCAGTTGCAGGGTGCTGAGAAGCCGGCATGGCGGCCCCAGCTCCCGTGGCCACCTCACTCCCAGAGGAACCTGACGGTGGCGGCGGTCCGGAAGAATTGCTGCCGCTCCTGCTGTGGCTGGTAGCCGAGGGCATCTTCAGATCGCAAGGAGAGAGAAGAAAAAAACGGGAGGACGGACAAGAGCGGCGAGTCAGGAGACGGACGGGACAATATGCGGGACAAAACGTGCAGCGGGCCTGGCTATTTTATTTATGTATTTATTGTACAGACAAGGTCTCACTATGTCACCCAGGCTGGTTTTGAACTCCTGGACTTAAGCGATCCTCCCAACCTGGCCTACCAAAGTGCTGGGATTGCAGGAACAAGCACCATGCCTGGCACATTTCATAAATATGATATGAAGGTATATGAACACATTTTAAAGAAAAGAAAGAACAATATTAACCCAAAGTTGGCTGCCTTGAACATTTAGTGATTTTAAATGTCCACCTCTACTGGCAATGCATACATTTTGTTACAAACATCTAAAAGGCATGTTTCACTGGGCCCCTTCAAAATTTAGGGACACAGAGTGGGCTGGGTAGAAAGAAACTTAAGGAATTCAAACTGGGCCCTAAAGTGGGATTAGGATAATGAAGCAAAGAAAGGAAAAGGTATAATCCAAGGAAGTGGCAAATGGGAAGGGAACAGACTATTCATAGAGCCTTAAAGACAGAAATGAACACAACATTTACTGCACCATTACTATGTGTCAGGTATCACGTTTTAGTACTTCATCTACACATTAGCTCAAGCATGAAAGGGTATGAGGTGGGCAGTATTATCTCTATTTTACTAAGGAACTAACTAAGATGCCCTATGAGGCAGTCATCCTGGGGCAGAGGGTCTCTGAAGCAGCAGTAGGTGAGGCGGTTGGAACACAGAGACACTAGGCCACTTTCTCTCAAAAAAAAAAAAAAAAAGAGCTCAAGGTTTCAATTCACAGTGAAAAAAATTTACAAATCAATAGGAATATTACATTTGTACATTATATGTTTATATATATAACCCAAAAAAAATATACACACTGAGATGGAAACGGTGGCTATTACTTAGGGATGGAAAAATTGAGGATTTTACATTTTAATTACTCATAATTTTAGTTCATATAAACTACACATTTATATTTATAAATGAGCTTTAAAATGATTTAAACTGACTGTTCTCATTTCTGTAACTGTGTCTTATCACAAAAGCAAAAGCCGTAACGAAACAAACGCCCCCGAAACAGGCCTGAAAATAAATTATAACATCACATTACTCCAGTTCTTATTCAGAAAGTCCTAAAGGGAAAAAAAATAACCAGAGCAATAATTAGGTCCTTTTCTTTTTTTGAGACAGGGTCTTACTCTATTGTCCAGGCTGGAGTGCTGTGGTGGGACCATGACTCACTGCAGCCCAGCCCCGACCTCCTGGCTCCAGCAATCCTCCCATGTAGCTGGAACCACAACACTCAGATAATTTTTTTTTAAAATTTATTTATTTAAAAAAATTTTTGAGACAGAGGTTTGCCCTTGTTGCTCAGGCTGGAGTGCAATCATGGCTCTCCACAACCTCTGCTTCCTGGGTTCAAGCGATTCTCCTGCCTCAGCCTCCCAAGTGGCTGGGGTTACAGCCATGTGCCACCATAGTCGGCTAATTTTTTTTTTTTTTTTTAAGACAGGGTTTCACCATGTTGTTCAGGCTGGTCTTGAACTCCCGACCTCAAGTGATCCACTCGCCTTGGCCTCCAAAGAGCTTGGATTACAGGTGTGAGCCACCACGCCCAGTCTAATTTTGTTTTTTTAATAAAGACGGGGATGGCCAAGCACAGTGGCTCACACTTGTAATCCCAGCACTTTGGGAGGCTGAGGCGGGCAGATCACGAGGTCAGGAGTTCAAGACCAACCTGACCAACATGGAGAAACTCTGTCTCTACTAAAAATACAAAAATTAGCCAGTTGTGGTAGCACACGCCTGTAATCCCAGCTACTCAGGAGGCTGAGGCAAGAGAATTGCTTGACTCCAGGAGGAGGAGGTTGCAGTGAACCGAGATCGTGCCATTGCACTCCAGCCTCGGCAACAGAGCAAGACCACCCCCTCCAAAAAAAATAGGGACGGCATTTCTCCATGTGAGCCAGGCTGGTCTCAAACTCCCGATCTCATGGTCTATCTGCCTCAGCCTCCCAAATGCTGGGATAACAGATGTGAGCCACTGCGCCTGGCCAATTTTTAATTTTTATTTTGTAGAGGTGGGGCCTTGCTATGTTGTTAAGGCTAGTCTCAAACTCCTGGGCTCCAGCAAGCCTCCCACCTCAGTCTCCCAAAGTGCTGGGATTACAGTCATGAGCCATTACACCTGGCAAAGAATTCTTGTCATAAGAATTTGTCTTCTATCTTTACAGCAACCACACCCACATGAGTGGAAGTAATTCATCAACCATCTTGCAGCACCAACCCTCAAGTGACGATAGCTGATCAAAAAGGTATTTTCCCTTTGCTGGTGGCGAGTCTCACAAGATGTATCTCCCAAAGCTTAACATGACCTCCTTGAAGCCACTGAGATGAAATCTGACCCAGGAAGTCAAAGAGGTTAGCCAAGTAACAGGGCACTGGGGGTAGGAAAAAAAAACACACACACACATTAAACAACTGGGGCCAGGTGCAGTGGCTCACGCCTGTAATTCCAGGATTTTGGGAGGCCAAGGTGGGCAAATCGCTTGAGCTCAGGAGTTCGAGACCTGGCAACATGACAAAACCCTATCTCTACAAAAAATACAAAAAAAATTAGCCGGGCATGGCCAGGTGCGGTGGCTCATGCCTGTAATCCCAGCACTTTGGGAGGCCAAGGTGGGCGGATCATGAGGTCAAGAGATCGAGACCATCCTGACCATGGTGAAACCCCGTCTCTACTAAAAATACAAAAATTAGCTGGGTGTGGTGGCACACGCCTGTGGTCCCAGCTACTTGGGAGGCTGAGGTGGAAGAATCACTTGAACCCAGGCGGAGGTTGCAGTGAGCCGAGATTGTGCCACTGCACTCCAGCCTGGTGACAGAGTAAGACTCCGTCACAAAAAAAAAAAAAAAAAAATTAGCTGGGCATACTGGCATGCATCTGTAGTCCAGCTACTTGGGAGGCTGAGGTGGAAGAATCACTTGAACCCAGGCGGAGGTTGCAGTGAGCCAAGACTGTGCCACTGCACTCCAGCCTGGTGACAGAGTAAGACTCCGTCACAAAAAAAAAAAAAAAAAAAAATTAGCTGGGCATACTGGCATGCATCTGTAGTCCAGCTACTTGGGAGGCTGATGTAGGAGGACTGCTGGAGCCCAAGAGGCCGAGGCTGCAGTGAGCCAAGATTGGCTGCACTCCAGCCTTGGTGACATAGGGAAACCCTGTCTCAAATAAATAATTAATTAATAAAGGACTTGGGGTTAAAAGCCACTCTTCCTTTCATCCTACTCAGGTATGTTTCTAAAATAGGTCCTGAAATTGACTAGTCATATTAAACATTTTTGACTGGTATTTTAATGTCTAACATACTTGTCAAGATTCCAGCAGTAATTGGTCCCACGATGCCCATCAACAGGATGCTTACAGACATGAACCTACCATATTTGTGATGTCTGAGGGTGAAGAGGGCCAGTAATCCAGCGGGGACATGAAAGAAGAGAGAAGACACCAGTGCCCACAGGAACACACCATACCACATCTCTGTGAGGGAAGACGAAGAAAGGTGGTGAGTCACTGCCTTTCCCATGACAATCACTGCAGAGGGTACTCATCAGAACCAGGGATTTCATTTTCAACACCATTTCTTTTTTCCTTTTTTTTTGAATAATTGTTATTTTTAAAGACAGGGTCTCACTCTGTCACCCAGGCTGCAGTGAAGTGGCACCATCATGGTTCACTGCAGCCTCGACCTTGTAGGCCTGAGTGTTCTTCCACCTCAGCCTCTGGAGTAGCTGGGACCACAGGTGTGTGCTACCATGCCTGGCTAAATTTTTTTTCTTTTTTTCTTTAGAGATGGCGGGGGAGTGTCTCGTCATGATCCCAGACTGGTCTTGAACTCCTCGGCTCAAACCATCCGCCCACCGCAGCCTCCCAAAGGGCAGGGATTACAGGCACTGCACCCCACCTTCAGCACCATTTAGTTGCAAAGTAGGGTTCATCAGTCAAATATTCAAGTATTGATGGTTTTAGAGGGCTCAACAAACTACTGCCCCACAGGCCACCACCCGCTTTTACATAGACTTACCTGAACCCATTCATACTACTTATATATATATACCCTTATCTGAAACCATTTACAAGAGTTTTGTACCCACTCACTTATTCAACCCATGCCCTTTCTTTTTTTTGTTTTTTTGTTTTTTTTTTTCAAAAGACAGGGTTTCACCATCTTGGCCAGGCTGGTCTGGAACTCCTGACCTGGTGATCCACCCGCCTCAGCCTCCCAAAGTGCTGGGATTACAGGCATGAGCCACCATGCCCAGCTGCCCTTTCATTTAAGTATTGTTTATGGTTGCTTTCCAGCTTCAAGGGCAAAGCCGATAACAGTGACACAGACCACATGGCCCATAAAACCTAAAATATTTACTATCTGGCCCCTCACAGAAAAAGCTGACCAACCCTGTACCCTCAAATTGAAAAAAAAAAAAAGTTCAAAATTGACCTAAATAACGTCCCCCACCATGGCTGGGCACGATGGCTCACAATTACAATCCCGACACTTTGGGTGGCCAAGGTGGACAGGTCACTTGAGCCCAGGAGTTCAAGACTAGCTTGGGCAATACAGTAAAACCCCACCACTACAAAAAACACAAAAATTAGTCGGGTGTGGCTATCGCACACATGTAGTCCCAGCTATTCCAGACACTGAGGTGGGAGGATTGCTTGAACCTGGGAGGCAGAGGCTGCAGTGAACTGAGATCACGCTACTGCACTCCTGCCAGGGCAACAAAGTGAGAGTCTCAAACCCCGCCCCCCGCCCACAAAAGCAAAAAGCCCAAACCAACAAAAATAATTCCCCCATAAGAGGCACAACCCCAAGTACCAATTGGTAGGGTCGACATTCCAGAAGTAATTGTTAACTGTGCAAGCAATGCCTGCTGGATCTTTCTTGACCTTTTGCTCACTCACTCTTCTAAAATGGAAAGCTATACAATTATATTCATTCCACAATCACTTCAAAGACAATGCAGTAAACATCAATCCATCACATCCTATTAGGATTTCAAAGCTCTTTAGGATATGAAATAAATACAAAAAAAATAGAAATGTTTGAAGACAAATGGCAGGGAAACAACCGTACAGGTTAGGAGAGCTGGCCTCCTACAGAGCTCTAATCACTCTTAAGGTGTCTGTCATTCAGGCAACATTAGGGTATACATAATCAACAACTATGTATGAAAAACTATCCACGAGGCACCCTGGAAAATATAAAGGAAACAAAACCATCTACCTGGAATGTGGTGACTTTACAATTTGTTAAATGGCCCATGTAGCATTTCGGCCCCTCCCCCACTCTTAGAATCCTCAGGCTAGCTCTCCAGCTACCCTTAGGTAGGGATCGGGGGTGACACATTAGATAAAACCCACTGCCCATCCTTGGCTAGAGGCAAGTAGGTAGCAAGTGATTTTTGAGATCAGTGAAGAGCTTAGCTCAGCAGGGTTTCTTGACTACCGCCCTCCACCGCTCTATTGATATTTGGACCAGATGACTTTTCATTGTGGGGGCTGCACTGTGCCACTGTAGGATATGGAGAGGCACCTCCCGCCAGCAGTACTCTCTTCCCAGTCTTATCAACTAAAAATATTTCCAGACATTGTCAAATGTCCCTGGGGGTGGGAGGTGCAAAACTACCCTGATTAAAAACCATGGGCTTTACCAAAGTGCAGAGGCTTTATAAGAGCAGTAACAGTTAAAGCTATAAAGACAGATGAGGTACACCTTATGGGGAGTTTGACAGCAGACTAAGTGTTAGGGATAAGCTGCCTTAGAAAACCCCCTCTGTGCTAACTGGCCCCTTCCCCCAACTCTGATTGCCTCTGCAGCTGCATTCCTGAACTCTTACCTAGGCCCCATATCAAGGCTGCCAGACCTGCTACAATCAAGCAAAGCCTCATTACAGTCATCCGCGCAGCTCGGAGAAGGTCAAGGAAAACAAATTTTTGTTATCCATACCTATAAATTCCTGTAAAATCCTATTTTTTAAACTGCCACCAGAAGAGTCACAGGATGATATATTATAAATCTGTCACAAGTCAACAAACCATCTCTGTGCCTGTTACAAGCTGGTAAGATCACCTCAGTCCTGAAGCTCCCTTACGGCCCTCTCACCCCATATAAACCCCTCACTTTGTAAGCCTGGGGCTGCCTCCTCTGACAGTTACAGAGCAGCCACGCAGGCTACTAAAACTTGCTTGCCAGACTTTGGGTCTATTCTTCTTTCTCTCGGCTGACCTCACATTAAGGACTTAACCAAAGATCTGAGAGTGCCAGTGTAGGTTTTTAGCAGTAAAGAGCTGTCACGGCATTAGTCCACAGGGCCCCCTGACACTCCTAGCTGGCATACAAACTGGAAAACCACCTATCTGCAGGGTAATTTGAAGTCAAACGTGCACAGCCTTTGCTGCAACGATTTTACTTCCAGGAATACACCCTACAGAAAAGCACAGATAGGCAAGGACAGAGGTAACAAGAGAGTCTCAAGAGCATTGTCTATAACAGCAAAAACTAGAAGTCAACCACATAGCTGTCACTGTAGGACTTGGAAAACACATTCTGTGCATCTGCCTAATAGAATACTACACAGCCCATTAAAATACGCAAGATGTATATATATTGAAGGTGCAAGATGCCCAAGCCACATTGTGAAGTAACAAAAGCAAGCTGCCTGTAGAATAACAAACACAATAAACATACATATGGAAACGCTTCTGTGTACCGAATGTTTATTTAATAAATATTTATTAGATAGGCCAGGTGCAGTGGCTCACACCTGTAAACCCGGCACTTGAAGTCAGGAGTTTGAGACCAGCCTGGCGAACATGGTGAAACACCGACTCTCCTAAAAATACAAATTAAAAAATTAGCCGGGTGTGGTGGCAAACGCCTGTAATTCCGGTTATTCAGAAGGCTGAAGCATGAGAATTGCTTGAACCCGGGAGGCAGAGGTTGCAATGAGCCCAGGGCAACACAGTGAGACTGTCTAAAAAAATAAAAATAAAAAGAGAAAAGAAAAACCAAAGCTTTTGTTTTCACAAGAACTGCTCAGGAAGAATGAGCCTATTGGATGAACAATTTAAAAGAGACAGTTGGGGCATCAATCAGCTTGAGGGGATTAGTGAGGGGGAGGAGGGGAGGGCCAGAAGCTTTACTGGAAGCTGTGTTTGCACTGTAAGCACACTGTTAGTATGTGTGTGTTTTTTCCCCCAGATCAATGAAAACCACAATTTTATGAAGGTATTTTTATTCCCTTTACACAGGCTTCTTAATCTTGGGAAGCTGGATTTAAGGGGCCATTGGAGATGAGGGGTGGAGCCAAATCCCCTTAAGCCACCCTTGGCCATGGTCACAGATGACTGCTCAAATTCTTTGCTCATTTGTAGTTAATGAAGCTTCTATTCAGAGCATATTCTGAATACTTCTAGTGAAAGTGCTCAGGTCTTGTTCTGGATAAATGGTTCTCGGTGAAAACATCAAGGATGCCCCAATTAGGTCTCAACGCTTATTAAAAATAGCAAATGAGGCCGAGCACAGTGGGTCACATCTGTAATCCCAGCACTGTGGGAGGCCTAGGCGGGTGGATCATCTGAGGTTAGGAGTTCCAAGACCAGTCAGGCCAACATGGCGAAACCCCATCTCTACCAAAAATACAAAAATTAGCCAGGCTGGGTGGCGCATGCCTGTAATCCCAGCTACTCAGGAGGCTGAGGAAGGAGCCTTCCTCCACCAATGAAAAAAGCTACCTTTAGTCAATCAGAAATTGAGGGCAGGAGTCTCAGTCCTTGGGGTTTCAGGCTTCCACCTCTTCCACAACAAATCCATATCCTCCTGCAGCTTCTTTTGTGGCTGCCATTATGCTGGGAGCTACTCCTGCCTTCCACTGCCCAGAGATTCGCCCTCGATGGCCAGCAGCAGTTCTAGAGGGAGCTCTACCTCCAGAGGGAGCAGCATCTGCATCTGGATATTGCTCTGGCCTAACAAATGTACACCTGCCAGAGCTCTGGTACCCACAAATCCTTTCTGCCTGAGCAGGTACTGTGGCCCTGGCTCAGTCAGAACAGCCCGGCCTCCCAGCTGAGGCCCCCTATCTACCACCCACCGCCAGCTCATCCCCAACCCACAGCACAGGACCATGCTTCTCTTCCAAAGCAGAAAGACCATCTTCTACCCCAGAGTCCTCACCTGCCACTCCCAAATCAATCTGACCCTCTGACCACACAAACACCTAGTCTGCAGAAAGTTCTATGATGGCACCAGGAATTCACTGACCCAAAGGGGACAAATGCGATGCAAACCTGCTTCCAAGAATTCAGAACAATCTTCACCTGGCAGCTGTCTGCCCCAACTGACCTGAGACCAGCCGTGGGACCCTGCTATCCAGGGCTTCTGCTGGAGCTGCCAAAGTTTTAGGGGTAGGCTGTGCTTTCTGCACTGCTGGAGCTTGGCTTCCTACTAGCTGCCCCAGAACCACTGAGGCCTTAAG